TTCTTAGACTATAAATATCTTTTCTGAAAATCTTTGGTTCCTATCTGATAATTGAAACGTTTTAATCATTTATATTTATAAATCTTCTGGTTATAAACTCTAGCCTGGTTTTGATGCAGCTTGTTTAAGTGGATTTGAGAATGTTTTTTTTGTATTTAAAACGTAACAGGACGTCTGATCAGGTCCGCTAGTATTATATATTATTTGAGTTAGGTTTTATTAGTATAGTAAGTAGTACATTATATACAAGGTTTTGATAAGATTACGCAAGTGGTGCTTAGTTAAAACCGCCACATGTCTCTAATCAGCGAACCGAGTTAATTAAATCGCGTTGGCAATATGGCGGTATAATTGCTATTAATAAAGCGCGTTCCTGTATAATTAGACGGTCGCTGATTGGCCGGGAGGACCCTAATCACAGCGTGATAACCTTGCACTAATGGCGGAACCTATTTCATAAACTGCACTCATATTTACATCCGGTATCTGTTACCACGAGTTATGAGATAATTTGTAAATTACACTGCGTCTTATAATAATGAAATGAAAATCAATGCTGTGGTGCTACAACCTTTTTAGGTCTGGGCCTCAGATTTTTGTATCTGTTTCATGATCATTTAATTAATAATTAAACCGCATTTATTACTTGAAACATTCATTTATGTTAACAAAAGATACACACCCAAATTTTATACAGAAATAATTATGTAGGTATATATATTTTTTTAAGGACCTCCTTTAGAGTATATGCCTCCATCTCTCTCTATCTTGAGCATTTTTCTCCCAATCTTCCCCAACAACTTCTTTGAGCTTGTCAGTATGCTTTATACGTGGCTTTTAAATCTCTATCATTCTTATAGAGGGATCCAAAACCGCTGTGGGTTGCATGTCGCACCACGTATTGTTAAAAAATTGTTACGCCATGGCTATCAAACTATTTAATCACCTTCCCAGAAGTTATATATATTATAGATCACTGCCGTGTAAAGCTTTCAAGGGATCAATTTTAAAGGCAAGGTGCCTTTATAGGGAGAGTATTTAGAAAATAATTTTGGACAACAATTATAAATAACTTAACTGTTCTTATTATTTAGACATCGTGATAATTAATATGTCATTTGCATGCCTATTTGTAATATGGCTAATTGTACGGATTTTTTGTAATTAATCAATCTGAATCTACTACTCGTCAAATAAACGATATTTTATTGTTATTATATCTATCTCATTCAAGAAAAGAGCATATTAATTCTTAAAAGGCAATGCACTCGCAAGCGCTTTGGCATTGAGAGTGTCCATGGGCGGCGATATCACTTAACAGTTAACATGTGAGCCTCTTACCTGTTTACCCCCTGTACTATAAAATTAATATCTAACTATTTAAACAGTTGGGTTTAAGACGTGCCGGTTAAAACCTAGGTTGGGCCTAGATCTGATAAAGCACGTTGAATAAATTGTATCCAAAATGTATGTGACCCATATTGATACACTTATGGAAGCGTAATTATAATTAAAGAGAGTAATTAAACCCGCGACTCTTATAAATGAATTATGACAAGGATTCATGGTCTAATAGTATGCAATAGTGCGTAGAGGAGATTCATCAAAGCCGTCACGCGGGAACAATGATTGACGAGTTCGCACCTCGCTCCGTGCCGCTAATTAAGACGACATGTGCATGCGCACCCATGCAGCCCGCTTAACGCTCAAGTATGCAATATTTGTTTCAAATGTCATTATAATTGTTTTAATTTGTAATGAAATACTAATTAACCATTCGTATACTATCTCAACTCTCAAGATCTTGTTTTGCGATTTGGTGTCATTATTTTTACAGGGAATAATTGGCTATAGATTATAAATTATATATTGACAATGACAGTTGACAGTCGACAGTTAACGATTAAAAAATACTAGTTTTCTCATAAGAGCCTATCTATTAAAAAAATATGTAACGCTATTGAATCTATGTATAATAAATTGAAATATATTTATTTACATTTTATTATAAAAATACATCAGGGGCGCTATAACCTTTTTAGGTCTGGGCCTCAAATTTCTAACAGGAAAGCAGGTGAACAGCTTTCTTTGCCTGATACACGCCGTCGACGTTTTCCTTCATGCGTACATAGACAGAACCTGCATTGGTGCACAGCAGGGTATGAACCTACGACCTCACAGATGAGAGTTCCATGGTGAAGCCAACTCTGCTCCAATCTTTGGACCATACACGAAAATTATTGAATTCGTAACACGTATTGTACAAATACAATTTACAAGTATCAAAAACAAATAGGAAATATACTAAGTACATATGATTTTAGCTATTTCTTCCGGGCAACTTTTATAGTTATAAACATATTGTGAAGGTATTTTAATTTTACACTATAAAACTTAGCAATTATGTTAAACTTTGCCTACCGTCCCAAAACAAGTGTTTCGCCGGTGATCGAACACAAAACCACTATAATTTCAAGCCAAGAGGCTTTTTACATAGCCTACATTAATAATGAATTCAAAGTGGACTCACAGATCAGCGCAAGCGCAACTAAACGAACATAAATCTTGTTAATGGTATTCTTATTTTCGTCCTCCCTGAATCTTGTTCGCTACAGGAATGAATTTCTTAAACGTTTAACGAGAGAATCTATACAATTTGAAAGATCCTAATATATTGTTGAACTAATTTTTTTTGAGAATATTTTTGTACCATTTTCTTGCAAATTAATTCATATATAAAATGAACAGATTGAATACTGTAACATCCTCCTTTGAGAAAAATTTTGCACGCCATTGTGTGGCTGAATATGTGATGATTGTACCACCATAATATTTTTACCATTTTCTTGCAAATTAAATAGTAATAAAAAAAAAAAGGTGCAAAAAATTTTAAGATCTTTACAATGAGATATTTTATATAAATTACAATAAACTTTAACCTTCAATACGATACTAGCACTATTCTAGAAAGTACTACACATTTTATCCATAGACAAAAAACGTTCTTATTTCGAATGGCATAATCAAACAAATCTGGGTGGTCATGAAATTTTTATTCTGTTAGTAGAAACAGCGACTGACAATCATTTATATCTAAAACGTCTCGTCTTACGATTTGTTTCCGTTCCCGCCTCAATGGCTACCATTTTATGTCGATTAGGAGATAGTGTTTCACTCGCTACTGACACCACTTTCTATTACAACAATGAGTTTATTATCATTTTAGAACTCTCTGGATCTTGTTAACAAATTATTGAAACTTAACATGCGTACTTAATAGAATGAGCAAGCGACGAATAATTTTATAAAAATAGCGCCACAACCCTTTTAGGCCTGGGCATCAGATTTCTGAATCACGTAGGTGATCAGCCTCCTGTGCTTGACACACGTCGTCGACTTTTTGGGTCTAAGGCAAGCCGGTTTCTTCACGATGTTTTCCTTCACAGTTCGAGCGAATGTTGAATGCGCACATAGAAATAAAGGCAATTGGTGCACAGCCGGGGATCAAACCTACGACCGCAGGGACGAGAGTCGCACCCTGAAGCCACTAGGCCAACACTTCTCTAATAGTTTTATGGAATCCAAAAATCTCTTGCCAGCCTTTATGGGATTGTACCTACTCTTAAAGAAGGTGTAAAAGTTGTAAAAAGCGGATTAAATGCCTCTAAAAACAAGTTTTTGCTCTTAAAAGAACAAACCCTTACAAAAGAAAATATAGCACGGCAACGCAAATTCGCAATCGATGGAAGTCATGATGAGATACTACCAGTACTTATAATATAGATAAGTCCTGTATTCTATGTATTAGCTTTGTATGTAATGCCGCTTAAGGCTTACAAAAACTAAACACATACATATACTGAATAAAGAAATGGTAGTAAGTACAGTACAATAAATTACATAATTTTATCCGCTTCTATCCACAAAAAATAATAACGAGTATAATTTATATGTAATCTACACAAAATAAAGAAACTATAAGAAATATAACAGGAAACCGCATAGAATGAGATTTCGACCAACCACAGACAATTTTCCCAAGTAGACAAAAACACAGATAAAAATGTGTACCCATCTATCTTCCTCCAATGGGACGTTAAAGAATGTTAAGAAGGGGAAGGGGACGCAATGTGTGTAATATAAATACTTTTATTACAAATTATGCTTACAAGAAAATAGCTAAGCTTCTGCGAGGTTTCGTTCTTATTGAAGTCATTTTAAGTGTCAAACAGATTTTTGAATTTGGAATAATAACTACGTATGTTTGTCTTTAAAATAAAAAATAAACATATTTTATTTTTTATTTTTATTTTATCTAATCATAGGTACCTACTTTTCACTAGAAGGTATACCACATACCCTCATACCCATGAATAATCAATTGTCCATCTAGCACATCAAACGCGTAACCAGAGAGACAGTTGTTCTATCTATAGTAGCTATATTTATAAGATATATTACAGTACTTAATTTTGTATATATGTTTAACTTCAAACCTTTAGGTACAAATTATAATTACTTGCGATAATTGGCGATAACCTAAAAGGCGACGACGATTGAACTCAACAACTCGGCCGAGTAATTGTTGTATAATTGCGTTAACGTGAAAATACACGGTTTAATTAAACAAAAGAATGAGAATTTATGCATGAAGAATTGTGTTAAATAAATACTACGTTTATGGCGGGGCAATTTGAAATGTTTTTAAAAATGGAACGGATTTTTTTCTGTATCGTATTCATTACTTGTTCGCGTACTTGTTCTGTACAATGCCTAGGCCTGAGGTTCGAATAGATAAAGATGTGTACTACCAGAGCAACATACCTATTATATACGTTGCAGCTTAAATCAGTTCCATTTTTGAATGTCCACCACTACAATATAACACACTACAGACTACAATACCACAGACAGAATCTTACTTCATCTGTCAACCCGAGTTGCAATGTTTTGAGACATCTGTTCCATATTTAAATATTGCTTCGTTTTGTCACAGACGCATGTTCCCGACGGTGCGTGTCTCTTTCGCGGGATGCCGCGCTGAGGCGCGTTACGGCGTTCTACTGGACGTGGTGCCCGTGGATAGCAAACGCTATCGCTACGCCTACCACCGGTCGTCATGGCTGGTGGCGGGCAAAGCGGATCCTCCCGCGCCAGCGCGTCTTTACCCGCACCCTGATTCTCCCTTCTCGGGCGACCAGCTGCGCAAACAGGTCGTCTCTTTTGAAAAGGTCAAGCTCACTAATAACGAAATGGACAAAAACGGACAGGTAATGATAAAGTTTTATTTTAAGTATAATATCCTTTTTAATAATAATAACTCATTTATATTATATTATAGCGATTTTAGTTAGAGTTAGTAACAGCACGGTCTTAGTGCTGTAAACAAAACAAAAATTCCTAAAGTGGGGCATGTAGTAGTAGTATACTAAATAGAAATCAAGACAGTCTTTTGTTTCACTAACAAACTATTGCATTTTGTTTCAGTTGGTGCTGAACTCCATGCACAAATATCAGCCTCGTATCCACCTAGTTCTCCGACGGGAGGGCGCGGTGAACGCTCCCATAACAGATCTGGAGCAAGAGGAATTCAAGACATTTATCTTCCCGGAATGCGTATTTACTGCTGTCACAGCTTACCAAAATCAACTTGTAAGTATAATAAAGATTTACTAGACTTAACGTACATAAAAGCATAGCAACGTTGTGTTTGTTTAAAAAAAATACATTTATAGAGGGTAGACTCAAAGACCAGCAAAACTTGAAGCCAAATATGAATACGGATAGACTTTAACAATGAATAGAGGGTAGATTCAAAAATTTCTTAACTGACTAGCAATTCAACTTTTAAATTAACCTCTTGGTCCGTTGTCGTTGCTTTTACGTATTTTACATCAAACAAATGCTTAAGCACTGTAAACATTCTCTTGAAGACCTTTCTTTTTTCTTTCGTCCAGAAGCATCCAGTGACATAAGAGTAATTAACTATTATTAGATTAGATCAATCGTGATTTGATTTCTAAAATAGATCACAGAACGAATGTTTGTAATTGCTTAGTCTGAGTATCGACACGTATTTCTGTCTCACTAATTGCAACTCGGTGAAAGGTATGTCCAGTGGACAAAGCGACGTGGCACATTTTTGTTTATCGTACGGCCACACGCGGGCGTGCACGTTGACTGACGGACACAAGAAGATCGTCTGTGACGAGTTTGTTGTCACCCAAAATATATCTCATTTCTGTATTTGCTAATGTGTTAAGGTTTTGAATTAAGCTTTAGAGTCACAGATTTACGACTAAAAGTTTTACGTTTTATCGAATCTCATTAACAATTTCTCCTAATCTTATCAGAATAATTTAAATTATATTCTTAATACATCAAAAACGTGAATATCACGACACATTTGTCTTCCTAAACTATGTATTGACATTAAATTTGATGTCTAATTAAATCATTTTGACATTCGCTCGAATGGTAAAGGAAAATATCGTGAGGAAACCGGCTTGCCTTAGACCCAAAAAGTCGACGCCGTGTGTCAGGCACAGGAGGCTGATTACTTACTTACCTAATGATCATGAAACAGATGCAGAAATCTGAGGCCCAGATCTAAAAAGGTTGTAGCACCACTGCTTTTATTTAAATAAATCACTATCAAAGAACCATCATTTGCGGTGTCAATTCAAAAATAATATTATTAAATTCGACAGTAAGTTCCTGTCTTTGTTTTCCCCGGTTAAATGGTGTCTGGTGTTCTAGCTTTCTTTCGCTTAACGCCTCAGTAGCGGGCCGCACATGTCGCCACGAGCAATTAATTCTCTGTCACAAAAGCGTTTGGGCGTCGCGACGCTCATTTTGTTCCTACCGCGCGGTAATTAGGACGTTTTGAGGTTCATAAAGGAAGCGTTACTTTATATCGACAACGCGGTACATAAATCTTCATTCGTACGTTAATTAGTTACTTCGTTTCTGTAAATTTTTTGTTACAACTCGCAATGCAATCAGATTCCTAATTTTAGCGTTAGGTCGTTGAAATGCGTTTAGGAGTCTCTTGTGTGTAGTTCGGGACATTGATTCTAACGTTCCGTGTACAGGCTATTGATAATAACGAGAATAATGGTCTGTGCATATTGGGATCTGTATCTGTACTTTAAATCTCTCATACAGTACAGATTATTAATGTCAATGTCTATAGATGGCGCAATTTTACATTATCAATTAATAATTCTTTATCAATAATAGAAAGCGTTTTTGGCAAAAGGGTACCTCACCTGATGTTAAATGATACTCACATGCGTTGCCGGCATTTTAAGAATTGGCACGCTGTTCTTGAAGGACCAATCAATCTTAATTATGTACTAACTCTTTTTATTTTTTGTTCTGATTACAACAGCTTTAACTTTAGTTTATAAAAATAATTATAACCTTTTGAACGTTAATTTCGGCAGCTTTTGCACACTCCAAATGTTAACTGACATAGCATATTGGAATTCAATAAGGCTACCTCATATCTTTGATCAGGAGCTCCGATTTGGCTGACGTCACACTTCTGACAGCTAAAACATTTGTCGAACCGCCGAGATAGTGTCACTGATAACCCAATCCCTTACAACAATAAGAAAACACTTAATGTGTTTGCACCTGCGTCTCTCGATATATCTTGTGCCCGCATAACTTGGTGTTTTATTTATTAAATTTGAATTAAAAGGGTTATTTTTTATATTTAGAGTATTTTTTCTTAAAGCTTAGCGGCAATCTAGGCCGAGGAATTTCTAGTGTGAAAAATAAAGTGTTATAATATATGTAAATACATTTTTGCCGCGCACCACCTATACGAGGAACCAACCACTGAAGTAATTCCGAACCAATTCGACTTCTAGAAAAGAGCGTACCAATTCTTAAAATGCACGCTCTCGTTAGCCCTGAGACATTAAGTATGTCCATGTGCGGTGGTATCAGCTAATATCAGGTGAGCCTTCTGCCCGTTTGCATCCTGTTCTATAATAGAGAATTATAACTGGTAAATAATAATTTATCCAAAAATTCATAATTAAAAATATTGACTTAATAATAAGTTAACCTAAAAACTTAAGGTTGTTATGACAGTATATTATACGGACTGCGACGCCTTCTAGAGAGTGTTTTGACGGGTTAAAAACATTATAGGTTCTATATTCACTAATAATCTTAAATGGTTCTTAAAAAGTCAATTAGCCCTTTTACATCTAGGGACGAATATGATAGTGCAATTATTGTAGACTACTTTTTCATTTAGGGTATTCAGTATACCATAATAAATACGCAGGTCTATGATGTCTATGGTAAATAATGTAATAAGGTTTTAGCTCTCTATTAATATACTGATAATATATGCAAACATCGATAGATATAAATATATATTTATTTACAGAAAAATATAATTTAAATCTAATGTAATATACTATACATTTGAAAACGTTGGCTTGTATTACTGTAACAATAGAAGTCTTGTTTAGCGCAACAAATGCAAATAAAAATACTTCTTCAATATTATTTTTATGTTGCTTATCGTTAGGCTATCTAATGTAGCGTGACTCTTATAAAAAATCGTAAACTGAATTAATAAAATCACTAAATCGAAGATTTCAGAATAACTCTTTGAGAATTCGATTCACTTCTACTTGTCATAAAAAATCTGTCATTTTACAGTATACAAAATGAAACATCATTATTGGTGCTTTATCATTCCTGGACGTTGATATAAGACAAGATAAGGTATAAAAAATATGAATTGCTTTTTTGTGTGCGCGTGAGACACAGCGTCGCCGCGCCGCGGGGAGGTTTCCCGGGAAAACTCGAACCTGCTCCAGCACACCCACTTGCATTTGTTAACAATCTTTTGTTTGCTCTACTGAGGTGACAATGTTTGTTACAATGCAGTTTTTTCAAGCCGATGACTTGTGAATTTGTTATGATTGATTGTTCCGCTGAGGATCGCGGCAACCTGCCATGATGGATTGAATGTACAAACATATTTACACACTTCATTGTGTGTGCAACGAAAGCAATGGATATTAAGGGACTTAAAATAAAATCGGAAAATGATTTTGCTCTCAAATTATCTTACTATAAAAATAACTCCTTAAGAATAATATAGATTTAATTTCTCGTATATTATAGTAAATTGTTTTATTTTAATCATAATATATTATTTATTTCGTACTACTACAGCTAACATACACTATATGCAATAAAAAACAATTATGCTAATTATATAGCCAAAGATGGAATACATTTATAAAAATGGTTCAAACATTTACAAAACTTAGAAAGGAATACCTAAGTAAAGATCGCATCATCTAGTCTATCTATCTATTTGTTATTCCAAAGAATTAAAAGATAAACACTAACATTTATTAAACTAATGCGATTAAAAGCTACTTAATTGAAATTTATATATCATTTCTCAGTATCAATAATCAATATTCAAAACCCAATCCAAACCTATTCTCGATTGACATCTAAACGGGTTTGAGTCTGACACAATCGAACAATATAAAGGAGTTAGGCAAACACAATTTCAATAACAAAGGGAGCCAAATAAACATATTTCACGGGCCAAAATGGCGGTCAGGTGTCATGAGGTGTCCTTCCCTCCCCGCGCCCAACTTCACCCCCGCACATCTCTTCAAATAATCGATTCATTCTTATGAATGTAATACTTTTATATTTGTCAACGCATAACGTCCATAAGATTATAAAAGCTTAAGGTGACAAATACATCGGACCCAACGCACATATTTTAACGTTATTGACAGAATTTGCATAATTTAATAAGGCCCCGGAAAAATTGGTAATTATATTTTTGTATATTAAACCGTAAAAAAATCATGTAGTGTTTCTGGGTTGGTAATTTTTCACGCATTATAACAGGACGATAACACGGAACCCACATAAGTCAAAAATACAAGAAGTCAATGTACTTGCATAAGGGAATTTAAAATAATTTAACGTGAAATTATTTATTGGTCAGCCGTCTCTTTCTGGCGTATAATACTGGTAGGAACTGTGTGAGTGTGATCTCTTTCTTACTTGCCATCGATCACACGAGGTGTGACGTCACGCAGAGCCGTCGTGTGCGGCCGGCTTGAATTTATTGCGTCTGCGCACCCAGCCACCACAGAAGAACTACATTTATTGAACCCTTTAAGCTTTATAATTATTTTCATACCTTTATTAGATTTCTTTACGCCTCCTCCTTTTAATAAATACTAGCCTCTTCTCGATAATTTAAATTATGACGTGGTTTTTTATTTTTATGCGACCGTGTTCTATAATCCCTGCTATTGTTAACTATGGGTAGTCAAAAGTCAAAGTATGATTGGATAATCTATGATCAATGACAGTACAAAATGCGTGCTGTCAATTTGACACTTTTCGAAAGCTTTTCTCAAAATATTAATGATAATTAATTAAACGGGCTGTGCGTATTGAAATGTGGCAGATAACATACTCGATAATATTCAGAGTATTGAATAATAACTTCGGCCATGAGTGCGAAGTTGATTTCGTACTAACAGTAGGCGCTTTAAAGGAGTTAATCCAGAAATTACGGGACGGTTCTGAAAACACGAACAGTCCACGGAGATTTCTAAATGTGGGTTGGTAGAGTGTTAATAAAGATAGCAACAGAGATCGCGGATAATTTATACAACCTACATAGCATATCATTTATTATATCTATTGGAACTGTGCGAGAAAGTTTACAACTTATCGACATGTTGGATGAAGACGATACAATATGAGGTGTCGAATTTAACAGTATTTGTCTAGACAATCTAATAAATATAGATTACAAATTGTTCTTATTTAAATGAAAGTAGCAACTGCCAAAAATAAATTTTTATTACTGATATAAACGTAGACACAAAAGCCACGGGTTAGTCAAGACTTTTCAAATGAGACCATTTTTAAAACTGCGGATATCTAGAAAAACGGAAAACAGTTAAATAATTAGACCCCTGTTGTAAGTTGTCAAGCTAAACGCGACAAATTTATTGTTTTGTATGAGAAATTGTTATTAAAAATCTCTTCCAAATATTTATCTTGTTTCGTAATTCGTTCCTAATACTAAAGCTAAATGTGTATTAAATATGAATAGTTCTGCGAGCTATCAATGCCACATAACTCGTAATTCTTGCGCACTTGCAAAATAATAAAGCATTGCTTTTCTCGAAAATCCCGTTTACAACTCCCACAGCTGTTGGCCATTTAGAATTTATTGTTTTCGCCATATACTGCGTTACGTCTTACTGAAAATTTATTTTAATACACACTAATCATTCAAATATTATACATCAGCTTTATGTGACAATTATTATAGTAGTAGCTTCATATAAAACATTGAAAAATATTTTTATTTCGCGAAACTGGAACTGATTCACAAGACTTAATACATGACATTGTAGCTTAAATTATACATAGTATTACTAGATAGTTTATACAAATATAATTAATTTATAAATAAAAATTAATCGCAAAATATGTTGCCAAGCGCAAAACACGAAGACGGGTGGAACAATTCGAGTAATTTTTATTTATTTCTTGAACTCTGAGGAAGGTATTTACCGAGAGAAAATTTGGATTAAAAAAATTTACAATTTATTAAGCATAGCAAAATGTTTCATAATGTTGGTATGTAGCTACCAAAAAGGTTAGTAACACAAAACAAGGCGAAACAAAGTTCGCGGAGGCAGCTAGTTGTAATTAAACTGATTTTTAAAATCTTTTGAAAATGTTATTTAGATCGTAAATAAACATCATAATCATTCTTAACTATTAATTAGGTACACTATGAATTCAAATCAGACAATATTGTTTTTTAGATACCTACGTTGCTCGGAATTTTGTAACAACTTTGAGTCTTAAATTAGAATTTTTACACCCCTATTAGTGCTGCAGCAATATATTATAGCTAAGGACTCACAGATTGAAACAAGTAAAATGTGCATCGTTCATCACGGCTGTGTATCAGTCAATGGCGGTGTGGAGCTATGACATTTATTTATTCCTCGGAATACTCCCGTTTATCCTCACCGCATTCCCTTACATGACAGGCGACAAACATTTTTGTATCTTGACATAATTATAACGACTGTACGCTTAATTAAAACGAGATTGTGACGGGTTTAACTGTCTTATTTGATTTTACTGTAACTGTTAAAAATTTATTCATGTTTATACATTTGTATACTCACTGGAGCACCCAAAAAAAAGTTTGTTTTTATCTTAAAGAGATTAATTGTTCATCTATTTTCGAGATGACATAAAATAAATGAGTTGAGAAGTACAGACCCGAGCTGTAACGTAAGTTCGGCTATGCACTTCGAGACCGAACATCGTCTATGACGAGAGAACGTTCAGGGATTTGCTACCACGATTAATAAATGGACTAACTGGCCAGTTATTAGATGGCCTAACATTAAGCAACATAAAAAGAAAGTTCGAGAACATTTTATATACATTTGTCGCGCTCCTATACAAAACTGCTATTGTTACATTAATACAAACCACACTTTCTAATGTAATTTTTCATATTATTCTGTCAAATAAATAAATAAAAAAATATGATGAACCGGTAACAGTTTCAATATATTCTAAATAATGAGTCTACTAATAAAAATTCACATGAGCGGCGCCAGTTTCCCTCTTTTCAAGTTTTTTTGTTTCCCGCGCGAGAATAATGTCATTAAGACGCCTTTAATGTTGTCAGTGAACAGGCATGCCGCCCAAGGCGACCGTTTGTTGATACTTAAATTAGGTTGTTTTGACACGCCTCGTCCTTATGTTTGTACTAAATCTAATAAATGTCGGTAGCGGATCCATTACTGCGTTTGTTCTTGATACGTTTGTTAAATTTCTTTGTTTTTCTTTAATAATAGGAATTGAATAAACTTCTGTAGTCATTACCAAACCGGTACTCTGGTCATAAAAAGTCGACATAAATATGCGCGTTGCTTGCGCACTCATTATGTCACTGTGAGGCGCGAAGGTATTGTAGTCAATCGAACGCCAAGTGGGTGTGCAAGTGTAAGTAGCTTATGACCCTCGACATCTTTTGCTTCCCAATTTGACGAACACCGTGTCCCTCGGACAATTGCCTGCTCATTGTTGTCACATGACAAGGCATATGACCTCTTTGGAGTCTAGGCGGAACTTCAAACCTCATTTCTCTGTTTATTAATCAAAAAGGAAACAAGATATAAATAAGCTGTAATTATAGAAGTGTCCTTGAATTTTTTCACAGATAACAACTAATATAAATAACTAAAATAAAATAATACACGAAAATGTAAACAACAATTTTGAGTTCATATTATCTAATGTATTTATTAGTAATCATAACAATAAAATATTTTTTAATTTTCCTAACCTACATAGTAATAATAAAAATAATTAATAATTAATAAAAATAAAATTTAAGAAGTTTGGTCCCGGTATACCTTTAAGTTTTAACGCTAGCAGCATTTCCTCTCTGTATAGCGATTAGCAATACTTATTTGTTGAGCCAGGAAAGCACCAGCTCTGGGATCATCGGTACTACCTACCAGTATTATCTAATTAGTTTATTACTTCCTTTATATTACAAATTTAATTTTAAGTGGTGGTGAAATTGCGACTTTCGTTTGGATTTGTAGAACACGAAAAGCGTTAAAGATTAGTAAATAGCTGAACCAATCAAGCTAGACAGATCACTCGTCAGATAATTACTGACTCGTCACCAGTGGCTCGCGTGGAACCCGCTGAAAGATTGACACACGCAAGACGAGTATTCGATGACTTGTTTATTGTGAATACGTTGCGTCAATCTTGCACTATGCCAATTGGATCAGTCCTACCTGGTCGGTGCGTCTGGCATGCCTGCTATACACTGGTATGTTAGTGTAAGAACATCTAAGAAGTTGTTCAGATGGTTACGCGTGTGATGAAAGGAAAAATATCTCGGTTAGTCAACTGTATAAAAGCGACAGAAATCAATGCCATACTAATGTATTCAAATATTTAATCCAGCATTGCAATGCCTTTGAGGATATTTGTCGTAACTCGTAAATATTACTCACAAATTGTGCGGACCACAGCGGGAGCGCGGACGCAGCGAGGGGGCGATTTCTCATGTCACTTGAGCAACGCCAACATTTTTTAACACCTTGGACTCTATTTAAATCAAACAAATTCTTTATGAGGATGATAGCGTATTTTAATTGGGTTTATATTTACGAGTATATATTTGGTGTGGCAGAGAAAGAATGAAAGTAGAAATAAATGCTGTGGAAACCGTTAAAATTGCGTGATGGGATAAGTAATAGTGAAATACGTGAGGTCTGTGGGTTAAAAGAGAACGTAGTGACATGGATGGGAAGAAAATGCTTAGGTGGTTTGGCCATGTAGGACGGAAGAAGCGGTTTACAAGAAGAATATATTATACAAGGCAACAATGGAAGATTGAAATCGGGTTGGTAGACCTTGTCGCAAATACCTGGACCAAAGCCAGGAGTTACTAGGGAAGATACAAACCCATAACCTAGGAGCATGCAGCAAGCGAGAGAGGTATATCTGGACGTATATCTGGCATGAGAAAATCCTTGACTCTTCTATTTAAATAAAAATTCCTTAAACTTAAATCCTTCATCTTGAATTTCTGCCTATTTGGAAAAAAGCCGTGATAATTTAAATAAATAATAATTTATTATTTTTTTGTTTAAATATGCATATAACGTCTAACATGTTATATAAATCGACTTCTTTGTTTCAGATCACGAAGCTTAAGATTGACAGTAATCCGTTTGCAAAGGGATTCCGCGACTCATCTCGTCTTACGGAATTCGAAAGGTATTACGAATTACTTTTTGTCAATGAAATTGATTCCTACGCGCGAATACTATGTGTAAACAGAACTGAATATCTTACATTTCACAATCTTCCATGTATCTCCATGCCAAAATTCGTCTAAGTCAGTAACATAAGCATAATAATTTTTTGCTCTGAAATTAGAATAGTAGACCGACAGTGATTGATGTATCTACGTGTACAATTACGACTTCTACTGAATTTATTCGATGCAAATGATCTCTCATGTTATAATTTACCTAACGGCCCATATTTTCTAGAACTCTGCAATTTGTCTCTTACACGCAAATTAACGTTTTATTTTTTATTTTCCTTTGTTGAGATTCTATATCACCGGAGAGCACGAAAGACCGCCAACATTCTCTGACGATGCGCGTTTCGGCGCTTCGAATTATAGGTAGATACTTTAATTTATTACGAAGACTTGACGTGTAAGAATTTTTAATTAAATTGTAATCTTTTCAGGGAGACAATGGAGTCCATGCTGGCGGAGCAACATTATTTGCGGTCGCCGCTTCGGCCGTTCGACTTGGATCAGCATAATAACAATTTGACGTTGGAAGAGAAGGCAATTTTAGCAGCGCGTTCGCAACTCTTCCTTCGGGCTGCGTATCCACTGTATGGGGTTCCAGCTGCCGCTCTATGGGGACAGTGGGCTTGTTTAGCCCCACAACTCCTGGCTCAACAACATTTAGCGTCGGGATCGGGGCTTCAATTGCCGCGACCGGTCTATCCGGGTGGAGTCCCGGCGCCTCTTTCTCAACACCGGTTCTCGCCATATCCTCCTCGAAGGTCGTCTCCGGGGTCCTCTCCTGACTCTCTGCGGGACCCAAGCCCACACCCACATCCATCACATACGCCGCACACACCGCACCCGCCGCATAGTCCCACTTAAGACACGGCTTTTAACGGAGAGTTATACTTGTATTTTATTCAGATAATAATTAGTTTAGCAGAAATCGTTGTCGCAAGCACAACAGCTTCTAGGAAAGTAAATGTTTTATCTATAAAGAATAAAGTTTATAGATTTTATTTTCATTCCAGTAGGCATACATAAAAAGATTCGTAAGCCACTTATGTAATATATTGTAATATAATATTTAAATGTTATATAAGACTGTAATTATTGTTGTAATAATGTTCCTAATAATTTTCTGTAGAAATATGTATTTATCACATTCTTAGTTAAGGACACGGAGTTGTGTGGGATTGGTGTTAAAATTAATGAATCACAAAAGTTTATGTGCAATACAACAATAGCTTAGGTGTTAGTTTAGTATTAATGTAAGGTATCTATGTAAAAATCATGAAAATACCACCTAAATTACGATACATAGATGTCTCCTTGTAGGGAAATGGTAGATAAAATAGTTATTATAAATAATATATTAATAACATTGGAAATTAAATGTTTGTTAACATATTTGTTACTTGTTTTATTTTCCCTGATTCTAGAATAAGAACCGATTATATTATTCAAAATTGCATAAGAAAAATTCATTAAATAATTAATTGAATATTTTGGACTTATTAATAATTATACATATTATAAATAAACCTCTAGTAAAAAACTAAAATTGGCTCTAAGTGACTTAGACCATTGCGTGTACCTAAGTCACAAATTATTCAAAAGAACCCGAAAGTAAAAAGTTTACTATTGAAATTCAGTCGTGAAAATATATTGGAGAGAGCATCTAATTTATTAGTATAAAAGTTTGCATAGATAATACTTATACAATTATTATTCTGACCAAGTCACAGCGAGAACCCGTGATTGTCCATAACCGGTTGTAAATACGGAATGTTGTCACTAGATGGCGCTAGTATATCTAAACACAACGACGCAATATAACGATTTGCGTATTTAGTAAAACATAATATGTATATATTCTTTAATTATTTTCAACAGTATATATTTATGTAAGTCAGTATCAAGTTTACTTATACACGTAGAACACAAATACTTTATTACTTATCATTTACCAATTCATTTCTATGAGATAATTCCTGTAACCTACACAATTTTTGGAAACCCGTGTTTCTTTAAAGAGCAGGTTAATATCAAAATGGTGGTACTAATATTCATTTTCTATACAGGCAGGGGAATATAGTAGCCCATAGACAAGAGCGCTCTTCCATAACTCCCAAACTTGATTAGGATGTGATCTGTGCATCACACGTTTAAACACCGCGAAATTCCTAAATTCTGCAACCATTTAAATGTTTTCATAAAAATAAAGCATACCATATACGGCCCAGTATGCTAATGATGTTAATAAGACTCCGATAATTGAAATAGCGTGACAGATTGAGGATTTATAAGGAGCGTCACGCGTCCAATTATGTAAAACTATAATGTTATCTCGGAAAACAACACCCCAACTATTCAATTAAAATGAAACTGCGTCATTCGAGTCACATAGAAGGGTCGTCCTACGAATTAGCCCGGCGCGTGGCTACATTACTGGGACAAATTCCGTGTCCCGAGGGCCTTGGGGATGCAATGCTAATCTAATCTGGATTGTAGCTAATAAATGTCCCGCGGGTTGCACAAATTTATTGCTTGTAAAACTGTTTCCAATCGTAGAAATTGTTCGGATGACGCCGTACTTTCGACATGGTCTGATTGAATTTGCCATTTCGCTGGTTTTCTCATTTCGATTTGACGCCGCAGTTTTATTTGTGATCTAATATTCAATTTTACTAGATGGCTCCGTGTTTAAGTTTGTTAGACTTATGAAAAAATTATGTGTAATTTACGTTAAAATAATTTTAATGTTATGTATTCTCGTAGTATAATGCAACTGAAGTGATTAATTAATTGTATATAATGCCACCGAGGCAAAAATACTTATTCCTAGTTACTAAAACCTAGTTACTAGAACTTCTCTCTCCATCCATGTTATATTATAGTATTTATAATAAGTTTACGATTACCAAAAATATACCGGAAATATTATCACAGATTATTTTTAAAAAGAAAACACACTTCCGTTTAGTGGTTAAACTACAATAATTTATGAATTGAAGTCTTCGTGTACGCCATGGTCACGTGTCCAATTGTTAGTAAAGATAAATAAAAATATTATAAAAAGTGTCTTATCACTTATATTTATACATTTTCGAAATTGTTATGCAATTACTCGGTGGGTTTTCGTTATAGTGTTTAAAATAGAAAACAGGTAAGTGGCTTATGGCAACCTTAAACAAGGCATTATAAGGTTTCTCGTACATGGATCAGATCGCACGTAAAGCCCTCTTATTGGCCACTCGGCTCCTAATCCCCATTTAACTGGGGTGCTGGGATCGAGGAGACGTGCCCTGAATATTATTTGATTTTTTTTTTACATTCACGCTGTTTCTCCACAATCGTTAGGCATAATTCTATCCAGAAATACCGAACGTAATGTATTTTTATACCAATAACATTCTTTGTAAGGAAACTTTGGATACAGTTTCAAATTAGACCAAGGACGTTCCAGATTCTTTGCGTTAATAATAAAAATGAGCACACTGCTGGCACTTAAACGCAAGATCTTTTACATATGAACGCTTAGAAGTGCTACCGATTTACCTTTTTTTATAGAACAGGGGGCAAGTTCAGGAGGCTCTGATGTTAAGTGATACCACCCATGGTCAATGCCAATGCCATGCTCGTGAGTGCGTAGCCGACTTACAAAATAATCAGAATTGTATATATTCGTTCAAAGTTTATTGAAGAGAAAAATGATATCCATAAACTCAAAAAACATTAACTTAACGACACAACCGCTAAGACGGTTTTTATGTTTGTGTAGATACTAAACGTGCGAATAAAATTTTATCACTCGCAGGTAGGTGTCTAGTACATAGGGAAGTTACTTCACATTTCGCGAGAACTGCAAATGTACGTAATAAATTCACGTTTATCACCCCAAATGTGTATGACGAGATGGATCGCTTTAGATTCGAGATGGATATTAGTATGTTTTATATGTACTAGTATATATTTAATGTGCTAGTACTATTATATATAGTAACGAGTCTCTAATTTCAAAAAATTTAACCTTTGATATAAATGTATGATATTTGAATAGTCGAAAGAAACTGACGGTTTTTAATTTACAAAACAAAACAACCAAAGATGACCTATCCTGTCACGTCCAAGCACCCGAATGGAAAGTAAATCTTTTGGTTCACCACGCAACGTCCCGTGCCGTCTTAATGACATTAGGTGATCACGCTAAAGCCTATCTATATATACGTATATATAAATGTTCTGCAAAAAGTTCTGCACCGATCGAGCTGAAATTTTAGCATAATATATAATATAATCCGCATCAAGGATTGTATTATATATTTTTTTTTTGTTTTTTTTTCCACAAGTATTGCAAAATTAAACTTATATGAAATGTTTTCTTTGTTTTGTTTCTTATTTCTCATCCATTCTACACAACAGCTAGTATTCTAATATAAATGTATATTTCGTTGCATTGTGTAGTTCTTTGGTTCTTCTTCTATGTGCTATGTGCCGTTGTCCAATTCTTATCTTGGAACATATGGCAAGTTGGCCTAGGAAGTTTGAAACTTTCGCACTTAAAAGCAAAACTTAAAGAAAATAAGACGCATTTCGAATTCGAAATTACGGATTTTTTCTAATCTAAATACTTGTAATTCACAGAGCTATGCATTCGATGAACAACGAGAGCTTAAATATTCAAAACTCCGTATCCATTACAGAAAATGTTATTGTATTTATTCAAATAGATCTATAAAATCCAGCATATTGCCCGATAAAGATATTTGCGTTCAATAAGGGACGGACTTTTCTCATTTTTCGTGCACGATTGGCGTCTCCCACCACCCCGTTGCGGTGCAAAGTTGAGGGCATTAGTGTTATCGGCGTGAAGACGGCGCCCACCTGACTTCTTACCACTTCCACAAATTACATATAATTACGAGAGCATAAAACTCATTACGCTTCCATTGCTGTTTTTATGCACTACATATTTTGAACAGCCGTTTTAAACCAGCGATGTATGATTCGATCGGCAGAGTATACGCACATATTCGCCCCCAGAGGTGTAACAGATAGTATCTATAAGCGTTGAGATGTGGGAAAAGGTGGGAAGCGTGAATGTTTTGCAAACCAGCCGTGCAAATAAGCTGCCCCTAATTTTACATTGTTTTAGCGTTGGTGGCAGCATATCTAAATTACTGCGGCAACGTTTTGAAAGTATCACCTTTTCGTGTTGTTATATATAATACATTTTGTACGACTTTGTTATATCTGTAGGTACTATAATTGCAAATTAGATGAGAGACTACTACTACTACTGAGTTATAGGCAACTTTTAGGTACTCACTACCTAAAAGTTGCCAATAACTGTGAACGTTTGATTGATTCTCTTATACTGCTCTGATTGATTTTGAATTTGAAATTTGACGAATACTTAAATGATCCTAATCCTTGTGATTGATTTGCTCTAGTTCAAACAATTTGTATGTCTCAATACTTGGCGATTAAAAAGAGTGGCGGAAAGTATCTTGCCAGTTCTTCTTACCCGCTCTACGCCCTTGACTTGCGAACTGGTTGTAAATGTAAATTTACAATTGATTTAACTTCTTTTTGACGTTCATAAGTAGGTATACTTGTTTACCTATATGAATAAAGATAGTTTGAGTTTGATAGATATCGCGTTTAAAATTAAATAGTTTTGTTCTTTAAATAATTACTTAATTATCGTAGATTCTAAGGAAAAAATTATCTAAAAATCTTTGTTTAGAATCGAAGATTCATACCTGACACTATTACAGAGCCATTCTTTATTATTAAGTATACTGATTGATTGCTCTTACAGAATATTTCGCATTATCTATTGTTTTTAAAGACTCTTCGAAATATAAGCAACAGTC